AGTGGGCTGGTGTGTAAGGAGTAGGCAGGTGTGAGGGGAGCAGGCAGGTAGGAGGGAGTGGACTGGTGTGTGAGGGGAGTGGGCAGGTGTGAGGGGAGTGGGCTGGTGTGAGGGGAGCTGGTGGGTATGTGAGGGGAACAGGAGGTATGTGAAGGGAGCAGGCAGGTGTGTGAGGGGAGCAAGTGGGTGTGAGGGGTGTGGGCTAGAGTGTGAGGGGAGCGGGCTAGAGTGTGAGGGGAGCGGGCTGGTGTGTGAGGGGAGTGGGCAGGCATGAGAGAGAGGGCCATGTGAGGAAGTGGACTGGTGTGAGGGGAGCAGGTGGGTGTGTGAGGGGAAGAGGTGGTATGTGAAGGGAGTGGGCTGGAGTGTGGGGGAAGTGGGCTGGTGTGTGAGGAGTAGGTGGGTGTGAGGGGAGCAGGCAGGAAGGAGGGAGTGGGCTGGTGTGTGAGGGGAGTGGGCTGGTGTGTGAGGATTAGGTGGGTGTGAAGGGAGAAGGCAGGTAGGAGGGAGTGGGCTGGTGTATGAGGGGAGTGGGCGGGTGGGGCGGGAGCACACCAGGGAGCGGAGTCAGGACAGTCCACAGTCCAGTCAGGGGAGCAGGGAACCAGGGTTTTGCTTGAATTGGGGTGTGGGAGGCAAGCCCCTGAGGAAGGGGCTTCCTGCCACAGAGCACTGGCATTTTCTGGTGTTATGGGAACCGGGTTGAGGTCCTAGAAGATTCTAGAGGGTAGAACCGGTAAGCAACCATTGATGGGTCTTCATTAGAGGCAGTTGTGCTGTGTTGGTCTGGGCCACTTCCCTCCCGGGGCATCTGTAGTGTCCTTTCAGGGATGCATACTGCTTATTCAGAGCTGATCCCATTATGCCCCTGCCACCTGGACCCCGCTTGGACCCCACTGTCCCTGAGCCCCGCATCTGAGTCTTCCCACCATTGGGAGCTTCGGCTGGGACATTGGGCTTCCCTACAGAGGGGCCGTCCCCTGGGCCCCGCCGCCAGGGTGGCCTGCTGAGAGGTTGTGGGGGTTCAGGCTGGGTGTGGGGCTCCCTGTGAGGGCTGAGGCTCCCATTGACGCCCATGCCGCTGTCCCCCACAGAGGTCGGACCCGCAGCTGCTCGCCCAGTTCTACTATGCGGACGAGGAGCTGAATCAGGTGGCCGCCGAGCTGGACAGTCTGGACGGGCGGAAGGACCCCCAGCGGTGCACGCTGCTTGTCAGCCAGTTCCGCTCCTGCCAGGTGAGTGCGCCTGGGCCCACAGGGCCTGTTGCAGGGGGACCAAGGCTTTGTCACTGGCTCACGCGCAGTGTGCACACATCAGGGTGGCCTGGGGGCGGTGTTGGGCAACCCTGGGTCCAGCTGCACCCGAGCTGCGTGGAGAGCCAGGTGATGAGCGCAGCTGGCACAGGGCACCTTGCAGGCAGATATTGGGAAGGCGGGATGAGCGGGAACCAGCAGGGTCTCGGCCGGGGTGCTGCTAGCACAGGACCGGGCTGGGCTGTGGGGGTCCCACGTAGAGATGGGGTTCGGGGTCTCGGGGGGTTGCACAGTTCAGCGCCAGCCCTGGAAATGATGCTAGAAATGTCTTCCCGGTTGAGCCTATGACCCGTGTGAGAGCCTAAGGTGTGATGTGGTTTTGTCAAGGGACAGTCAAGGCCTTTCACAAAGTTCCGGAACGTCTTGGTGTATTCTACCTACAAGTGTGGCTGGTTCTCTCTGGCCTGGGAGAGGAACTGGGGTTGTGCTTTCCAGATCACAAGGAGCACGGGATGCTATGGGGAGGGAGGCCGCAGAAGCCAGCACCCCACTGTGGGTTTTAAGCTGTGGGAGTCAGACAGGGATTTTGGTGGGAGGAGCAGGTCCTAGCTGGCCCTAGGATGACCAGGAGGCCCTCCCCACTTCTGGGGGACTGGAGGGGCCAGAAGGGTCTCTGGACTTGCCAGGCTATCAATGCTCTCCCTTTCCCACCAGAGGATCTCATTCCTTGTGCTTGCAACACACTGACCTTGCAGCTGGAAGACCTCCTTCCAGCATCCCTACCTGCACCCCTGCCTGTGCCCCCACCCTGCCTATGCCCCTGCCTGCCCCTGCCTGTGCCCCCCACCCCTGCCTTCCCCCACCTGCACCCTGGCCTTCCCAGCCCCCAGCCCCATGCCCCTGCCTGAGCCCTGCCTGCCCCACTGCAGCTCTGTGCCCCCTGCAGTGGACTGGCCAGTTCATAGGCTGATGTAATTGCAGGTTATGCAAACTGGGAGCTTCACGGAGCCTCAACTGTGCACAAACAGGAGAGGAAAACTGCTCTGGAATTAGGCGTGGACAAGGCAACTCTAAGGGGGTCGAGAAACAAGTCCCCAAAAGCTAGAAGGATCTTGCACAGGCATCTTTAATTTCTCACTGCTCTCTTAACACTCCTGTGTCAGGGTCCCGGGACCAGCCCAGGTCCGCTGACTCCCTAGGAGGACACAGGGGACGTAGCAGGTAGTCATGCTCACGGCCGGGGGTTTATCCCAATGAACACAGACGAGGCAAAATCAGCGAAGGGAACAGGTACAGGGTAGGGGGCTTTGGGAGACGAAGTTCAGAGGAAACAGGCGCCAGCTGCCAGCATCCTCTCCTGGGGAGTCAGGTGGGACACGCTCTGTTCCCAGCAGCGCCATGTGACAACACGTATGGGGTCCCGTCTCCCGGGGAAGCTCATGAGAGATGTGGAGCAGGGCTCTCACCCAGGCTGGACCCGCAGCCCCTCTCCCTGGCTCGGCCCCAACTGCAGACCTCCAGGAGGAAGGGGTGTTGGCGCCGACTGAGGTGTGGGTGTGGACAGAATGGGTAGCTGGGAAGGCCCCCACAGGCCAGGAGCCCAGATCCCTGCCCAGGGCCGGCGCTGCACGGGCCTCTCGGAGGACAGCATGGGCCTGCGGTGGAGCCCCCGACATAGGACAGCACAGTCAGAAATCGTCGCCGCGCGTCCCGGGCCATGGAGAGCGGAGTCAGCAGGGATGCCGTCCTGTATGAGCTACAACTTTATAAACACAACTCACAGTAACATATTTGTTTTACTGGCCCCTTCCAGGCTATGGCCTGTGTAAGGGCTCCTGGCTAGTGAATTTCTACAAAGCTCAGGCATCTCAGTTGGAAAGTGTCTTCATTTCTAATGTTTGTCTTGAAACAACACATTTTGTCTTTTCTGCTTCTGACACCGGCTCCATGTTCTATTCCCATGGCGATGCTGGGTTGTTTCTGTGATCGAGTGTTCATTCATTCATTCATTCATTCAATAGCAGTCACTTGAAGACCGTCTGCCTCTGTGCAGAGGGTGGGCAGTGCCCCAGAAGTGAGGTGGGCGTGGAGGGGGCAGGCCTCTGGGATCCCTGTAATCTGGGGTGCTGCTCGTACACAGGCCTGTGTGCCGTTTCGCGTGGAGTCTGGGGACCTGCAGTTAAGATGCGGAGCTCCGACAGGTCAGAGGCACTGCCATCCCAGGCGGGTTACTGAGGCCAGATTTAGGGGCCCCAGGCTCCTGACGTGCTGGGCACCTGTGAGTCTGTCCCGGGCAGCATGTGGCCGCCACTGCCAAGCACTGGGAGGCCGCGACTTTCTGAGCTTCGGGACTAGTGGCTCAGCACTGCCAGTGAACCTCTCCTTGTTCCACTGTTGGCTGTGACCCTGGCCTTGGTGACAGATCCATGAGTCTTCTAGTCTGAGTGTCTGGGGGCATCTCGGGGCCCCATCAGCCCAAGTACAGCCCTTGGCTGGGCCTGGGGCATCTGTGTGGAGCTTGCTTGGCAGCTCAGTCTTCCAGGGACCCTGGAGGGGTCCGCATGCAGGTCTCTGGCTGGCTCCCATTCTGTTCTGTCTGAGGCAGCGCTCCTGGCTTGAGGGTGGGCCTACACTCGGGGAGCCCAGTCCTTCTGGCCTGGGAGCTTCGTCTTCCACAGGGCATGGGGGCGGGTCTCCACAACGGTCCTCTGGGTGATGACCTCACCTCTTAATTCCTGCTGGGAAGTCTGATTCCTCTCACCAGTGAGTCTTGGGGGCCTCATGCACCCCAAGTCCTTGGGGTGTGGTATGTCAAACCTTTCTGCCCCATAGTGGGTCTTTTAGGTATAGTGTCCAGGCAAGTGCCAGGTACAGAATAGATGCTCAAAGAACAGGAGCCTCCTTTTCTCTTCTCACAAGAGCGATGCTGTGAGAAGCACGTGGGCTGGGTTTATAAGGAGCAGCAGGAACCAGCTCTCTGCAGGTGACATGCAGGGCAAGGGGGGGCGAGGAAGTGAGGGGCTGGGAGTCGGTGAGGTGGAGAAGTCCCGGGACCCACACAGTGGTCCCACCTCGTTGGCTCTAATCTTAGAAGGAGTCAGAGTCCTTCATTTTCACCTAAATGACCTTTTACTTTGTGAAGATTGTGGACTGGGGCATAGTGAGTGTGCGGGTGGATTTCTGACGACATTTGCATGTCTGTGTTCTTTTTGGCTTTAGAAACCATAAAGAATTAGAAATTGCAGCTCAGTAGGACGAAATGAATCCTAGATTGTTGTGATGGGCTGAATTGTGTCCCCCCCAAATTCACACATTCAGGTCCTAACCACAATCTTTAAAGACATAATTAAGGTAAAATGAGGTCAATAGCATGGGTCCTGGTCCTGTCTGACCAGTGTCATTGTAAGAAGAGGAGATTAGGTCACAGAATGCAGAGGGACAATCATGTGAGGACGGGGGAGAGGACCGTCTACAAGCCCAGAAGGGTGGCCTCAGAGGGAACCCACCCCCTTGCTCCTGGGTCTCTCAACCCACCCACCTCCACCTGCTGCTCAGAACCAACCTACCTGCACCTGGGTTTCAGAACCCCGCCCACCCACACCTGCATCTCATCTCGGAAGCGCCCACCTGTACCTATGCCGCTGAACCTGGCAACCCGCACCAGGGTCTTGGACTCCTGGCCTCCAGACCTGTGGGAATACACTTGGAACTGCTAGGTGTGGTGCTGTTATGGTGGACCCAGGCACAAATGCAGCGAGATTTGGATATCGTGGCGCAGATGGGCTGAATTTGTCCTGGGTGGGATTCCGGCATCATCATAGACCTGTTTTTCCTAAGCCACACCGTAACATTTGCCATCAAGTGAGTATAATTGCAGATGTTTCAGTGAAGAATGTTCAATGGCAAAATGTGCGGATCTTGTGCCCAAGTGTAGCTAGTTGGGTCATGGTGATCATGGAGGTGCCTTGCTGCAGGTCTGTGATGTGAACGGAGCCGCACCTGGCAAGGGACACCCTCGAACTTCCCTGTGCTGGAAGGGACCGGTGCCCACCGTGGCAGAAGGGGGTTCTTGGGGAGAGAGGGGTCCCTGGTGTGCCCTGACTGCACACTCCAGCCTCCTGTCTGGTGTGTGCTACACCTGGGGGCTGGTGTGACTACAAGTCTGCATTTGGGGTCCCAAGAGCTGTGCCCAGGAGGCACTGAGACCAGGGGACCCCAGGGGGGCTTCTTGCCAAGGCAGAGAGAGCTCCTCGCAGCTCTTGAATTCTTTTTTTTTTTTCTTTTTAAGATTTTATTTGTTTGGCAGAGAGAGAGAGAGAGAGAGAGAGACAGTGATCACAAGTAGGCAGAGAGGCAGTCAGAGAGAGAGGGGGAAGCAGGCTCCCTCCTGAGCACAGAGCCCAATGTGGGGCTTGATCCCAGGACCCCGAGATCATGACCTGAGCCAAAGGCAGAGGCCTTAACCCATTGATCCACCCTGACGCCCCAGCTCTTGAATTCTTTGAATTGTTTCCATATTGACTTTTGAGAGTTCTTTATTATGGACACCAGCCTTCGTCTGTTTATGATTTACATTATTTTCTCCCAGTCTGTGGCTTGTCTTTTCATTCTCTGCCTAGTTTTTTGAAGGACATAAGTTTTAGATTTTGATGAAGTCCAGTTTACCCTTTTCTCCCTTTGTAGGTCATGCTTTTGGTGTCCTGTCCAAGAATCTTGGTCATCAGATCAAGAACCCAAGGTCATCAGATTGTCCCCTGTGTTTTCCTTTAGAAGTTCTATAGTTTCAGGCTTTACATCGAGGTCTGTGATGCATGGTGACTTACTGTCAGTATATAGTGTGAGGATTGGACACATGTTTTTGTGGTTTTTTTACAAATGAATTTTCTGTTGTTCTAGTATCATGTGTTGAGAAGACTATATCCTTTCTCCACTGAAAAGTGTTATTGCACCTTTGGGAAAATCAGATCTCCACATGAGTGGGGGTCTATATTCGGGCTCTCTGTTCTGTCCCCTCAATCTGTCTACAGGCCAGAACCATGCTGTCTCGATCACGGCAGCTCTATCCTGTGTCTTAGAATCCCGCGGTGTCAGATCTCCAGCGTTTCTATTTCAAGGTGTCGTGGCTGTTCTAAGTTCTTTGCCTTTCTGTATGGAATTTAGAAACTGCTAGTAGAGGTCTATAAAAAAGCCCGCTGAGCAGGAGTGCACTGAGTCTGTAGGTCAATACTGGGGAAAGCATGCAGTTTTCCCCACTCAGCATGGTACTAGCTGTCACAGGCTTTTTCCAGACATGCGCTATTGGGCGGAGTGGGGATCCTTGGATTCATGACTACTCAGGGCTGGAAAGACGGAACTCTGCTGCCTTCTGACGCACACTCTTCCAGTGAGAAAGCCGGGGTCACCCTTATCTTTGTTCTGCGTGGGTAGTGTTTTTGTCTTACTACTTGTAAGGCCTTTTTTTTATTGGTTTCTATCCATTTCATCATGCTGCGATTTGGTATAATTTTCTTCGTGTTTCTTGCCCTTTGGGTTCATTGATCTTCTTGGACCTTGTGTTTATAGTTGTCATTAAATTGGACAAAAACTGGCCATAATTCCTTCAAATCTTTTTCCCATCCCACTCCTTCTCTTGGGTCTGGCATGATATGTCTGACATCCTGAAGTCTTATTTCTTTCTTGGGCTCATTGGAGAGTTTCAGTTACTTCGTGTTCAAGTTTATTGTTCTTTTCTTCTGAAATGTCTGATCTGGGTTGAATCTTATCCGGTGTGTTTTTTTTTTCAGCTCAGATATTGTAATTTTCATCTCAAGATCAGCTTGTGTCCTATTTATGCCTTCACGATCTCAGCTAACTTTTGGAACACATGGGAGTCACATGTAAGGGCCATCTCTGTGTCCTCCAATGGCCACTGTGCCACCTGCCTCAGCTAGGCTTGATTTTTCTTTTTATCATGTGTCATATTTTCTTTAATTTTTTGAAAGCCTGTTTTTTTTTTTAATTGAATGCCTAATGTTGTGAATCTGGTCCTTCTGGGAGCTGAATATTTTTGTATTCCTATAAGTCTCTTTGACCTTAGTTTTATAATGCAGTTTGGTTATTTATAAATGGCCTGGTCCTCTTGGATCCTGTTTTTAAAGATGTTAGGTGGGGTCAGAGCTGAGTTCAGTCTGGGGCTAACCACCCTCCCCATGGAGGCAACACACTTTGGGTGTTCTGCCCAGCACCCTGTGAGCAGTGCTCCGAGCTCTGGCCACAGCTCCTGTATGGCGCCTGTACCCCCTTCCTGGTCTTGCTGGCCTGTGTCCGGCCCCTGCTCTCGGGTCTGCAGGGTTTCCTCTGGACAGCTCTCTCTCCTCTCGATTCTAACTATCCGATCCCCCAGACGCTCAGCTCTTCTCTTCAGTGAGGGCGTTTGCTGGGTCCCACTGGGGTACCCTCTCTCCGGACCGGGACCTGAAGGGTCGCTCTGGGCCATGAGCCACCTGGTCACAGCTCTCGCCTTGCCTATTTCTCTTCCCTTGGGGCCACTTGGCTGTGTGATGGCCAGTGTCTTAAGAACCACTGTCTTATTTTCCCCACGACTGTGGTCATCGATTTGGTTCCTGTTGCTCTGCATTGGCTGGAATCAGAGGTCCCTGCAGATGTTTGCTGGGCACTGGGGACCCGACAGAAAAGAGGAGCCCTGCCCTTGCCCTTGGGCGCTGGTGTCCTGACGGACCAGGCAGGATGCACAGTAGATGCAAGCGTCACGTGGGAGGTCAGAGCCCCCGCTCTTCCTGGGAGCTGATATTGACTGGGCGCTTCCAGCTTTGAGGGTGCTGACTGTTCATTAGTTTGTTGAATCACAAGAAAGGGGCCTTTCTGCCCAGAAAGCATTTTAAAAAGAACTCATGGTACTACTGCTTGATGCTGGTCCAATTTTATTCTGATTTTTTTGTGTTGTCAGAGCTCAGGGCGCTGACGTTTTACATTAGCAATGTCATGCTTCCCACTTGTGGGGACTGTTTGTATCTGCTTCCTAACAGAAATGAAAGTCGAGCCTCAGAGGGCAGAAAGGAGGGGTGTTGAGATATAAAATCTCTAAGGGCAAGAGCGTCAGCTAGAGCCATCTTTCTGGAAAGCCATTCGCTGGGCTGTAACCTGAGCCCATAACTGTATGCGCACTCTTGACTCTTGGAAACGTGTGGATCCTAAGGAAGTCAGTGACCACACCAACATCACACAGTGCAGCCGTGACCATGACGCCGGCACTGCTTCTGGCAGTGGAGATTTAGAGATGCCAACTGTGGCCGGCAGACTGGAAACGGCTGCCGCTGGGTGTTACAGATTGGAGCTCATACCCGCCCGACAGCCTGGGGACTGGGAATCGTGGTGTCCTTTTCTGGGCTGCCTGGAGGACCAGAGAAGTTAGGCAGCCTGTCCCTGGTCACACAGCTGTGAGGGGAGGAGTGAGAGTCTCCACCGCCAGAAGGCAGGGAGCACCTCTTCCTTGCAGGCTCACTGATCTGCTGGTTCCAAAGGAGTCGAGGTATTGCAGCCCAGATGGAGTTGGGCCATTTGTGCTAGCCTGCTCCATCTACGTAGGAGTAAACTGAGGTCCAGAGAGGGTGGCGGCTTTGCCTGGCCTGACTGCAGAGGCTCCTGTGGTCACCGTGCTGGGTGAGGCCGGGTCTGGAGCACTGTGTGGCAGGTCTGAGAAGGCCAGTTTTGCCGCTGGTACTGTTCCCTGACAGCAGGGGGTCTTGTCTGTGCTGTGACCACGCCCAGGATGACAGGGTGCCTGATGTCAACAGAAGCAGGACCGCCAGCCGGCGGTGTGCCTGCCCTCCGAGCCACGCTGCTTCTCGCGCTCTGTTGTAAGAGGGTCACATGCAGGTGTTCAGAGAGCTGCCCAGGGACAGTCCTCGTGGCTCGGGCTGCAGGCAGCCTGCCTATGGGTCGGCAGCCGCGCGTGGGCTCCGTGAGTGTTAGCAGCGGGACCAGGCAGGCAGGGGGACCTGGATGTTTATTCTCAGTGCTCCTGGAGCATTCGAACGTTGTGTAGCCATCGCAGAGCGAGCAGGGGTGTATTACCGCATCAGACTCGTAAGCTTCAAGAACAGCATCGTGCCCCGTCTGTGTCTTGTATTTTCCAAGCAGCCTGACAGCCACCAGCGGCAGCATGTCTCAGCACAGCCTCTCCGATTCTGTTTCAGGACAACGTGTTAAACATCATTAACCAGATCATGGATGTGTGCATTCCCCAGGACCGGGCCCCGCGGGATTTCTGCGTCAAGTTCCCTGAGGAAATCCGGCACGACAACCTGGCAGGCCAGCTGTGGTTCGGTGCCGAGGTAGCAGGCAGCGCCTGGGTCTAGGGTCGCAGTGTGGGGCGCTGTGCAGCTCCCCTGTGTGTGCACCTGCAGTTAGGGACCTGGGTTCACCCCTGCAAGGGGTCAGAACCCACTGCTGGGGATTACCGACGGTGCGTTCTGAGCCTAGGAGGACTACTTTGAGGGTCTGGGAAAGCCCTGAGACTGCTCCCCAGATCTATACATGCGAACACAGACATGAAGCTTTGTGAGGAATTTCTGGGAGGTTCTTGGGCCCCCAGATGTGAGGGCCCACAGGGGTTCTAGTGTCGGGAGCAGAACCTCCCTAACCCACTGTTGGGGGACATCCTTGCCCACGGGGCTGGGAGCTGCACTCAAGGCCTGGCTGGAGCCACCCCTCACCTGCCCCTCACACCTCCTTCCTTGTCTCCCATTGTGGGGACTACAGCCTGAGAGGAGGGTGGCTGCCCTGTGGGACAGGACCTGTCTTGCCCCAGTCGTTGCCCGTGCCCCCACCTTGCCACCCCTCCCTGGGCCATGCTGAGGTTTGTAGCCTGATGCCGGTGAGTCCCTGGGATGCGGCATCTTTCTCCGGCTCTGCCTGGCCTTGGGCCCCCTGCCCACTGCCCCACTGCTCTGACCCCCTGGGTGGGAGGGCATCCTTGTCCATGCTCTGATTGGTGTGGCGTGTCCCAGGCAAGCTGTCCCACTGCCTGGTCTCAGAGTGGGTCCCAGGGACAGGGACAGCTATGTGGCCTGGATATGAGGCAGGCCCCATGCCCAGGGATACTCAGGGCACCGTCTCCCCAGTGCGGGCCGGCCCCGGGGTCAGCCAGCTCCACACACACCTCCGGGGGGGGGGCGGTTAGGAAATCAGTGATGCTGAGCCCTGCCCCCAGGAAAGTGCTTCTTGCCCCAGCTCGTCTCTGGGTCACTGCTGACGGGGTTTGCGGTTGACTGGTGCAGGCCTGAGGAGGGCAGGGGGCCCCACATCACTATAGCCCCACATGGGGATCGCATGGCTACCCCTCAGCCGGGACCTGGGTCTGATAAGCACCCGTGTCCCTGGACATGTGAAACACGCCGGGGTGATGCACACAGCCCACTTGGCCTGTGGTCTCTCCCCGCCTGCCCAGTATAGGCATGGGTGGGTCTGTGGGCACAGAGGGACCCTCTGTATTGCCCAGCAGCTGGGAGTCCCACACTGATGAGTCTCAGCTCAGCGGAAGGTCAGTGAGCATTTGTGGAAGTGAGGTGTCTTTACTTGCTAGGAATGTCAGTGGTCTTGGGGAGCATGGTTAGCCCCTAGGGCCTCGTGCCTGAAGTGCTGCCCCGAACGTGGTGTTGGGGCGCCCCTGGGCACCCAGCTGTGGGCTGGGCGGGAGGGGACAGGCGTTGCAAGACTGGGCCCTGAGCATGAAACCCCATACCCCAGAGTCCTGGTCAGGCTTCCCCTCCCTCTGGGTCCGTGTGCAGCCCCTCACAGGGGGCGTACTTGTCAGCATGGACTTGTTGGGGTCTGGGTTTGATAGAGACCAGGAGGGAGCAGGTGCAGCATCTCGAGACACTTGTCCCAGGGTGTGAGGTGAGGGTATTTCCAGGAGAGGAGCCTCAGGGAGGGGTCTTGGGGATGACAGCGCACCCCAGACTGTGCCCGCTGCCCTGCCTCCCTGTCCCACCGTCCTCAGGGCTGGCCGTTAGAGTGCCCGCTCTCTGCAGATCGGAGGGGGAATCCCCGCCAGTGGGACTCCAGGGGCCCCCCTGGAACCGGTGCTGATGCCTGTCCCCCCCGGGCCTCTCCGGACCCGCGTGTCACCCGCAGTGCCTGGCCGCTGGCTCCATCATCATGAACCGTGAGCTGGAGAGCATGGCCATGCGCCCACTGGCCAAGGAGCTGACCCGCAGCCTGGAGGACGTGCGGGGCGCCCTCCGAGACCAGGCACTGCGCGACCTCCACACCTACACAGAGAAGATGCGGGAGGCGCTGAGACACTTCGATGTCCTGTTTGCCGAGTTCGAGCTGAGGTGACTCTGAGGCCTTTGCCTCCTGTGTCTGGGGGGACATCAGCCCCACCGCACCAGTCACGATGTTTCCCATGGGATGGATGCGCGGAGCGGGGAGCCGGGGCGGGATCAGGGCCAGCGGTCTGTGTAGTGAGCCCTGGACCCACGAGGCAGGGGTGTGGGGGTCAGGCTGGGTGACCTTTCCAGGGGTCCAGCCCACCCCCTCTGCCTCTCCCCAATGCACCCCAGCACGAAAGAGCCGGGAGGCGCCTGCCCGTAGCAGTCACCAGGAGTGGACATGCCAGCCTCCACCCGTGCCGCCGCCCGATGCTCTGCTGCTCCCCTCCCACCTCGCCTCCTGCCTCACCTCCCGCTTCGCTTCCCGCCTGCTTCCTGCCTCTGACCTCCTGCCTCTGGCTCTCACCTCTGCCTCCTGCCTCGCCTCCCGTCTGTGCCTGGGCTCACCGTGCGGGGCTTGGTGTTCGCAAGCTGCCCCCTTCACCCCATCTGTTCATCCGCCCCCGCACAAACACCCCGAGCATCACCTCCACTCACCTCCATGTGCTCAGACCCCGGACACAGTGGAGCAAGGGAGGAGTGGCCGTCGCTCCTGGACGTGGGGACTTCAGCTCCCTGGGGTGTGGGCAAGGGCACCTCCCCAGGTTTGGATTGCACGACACCCTCCATCACCACCCACCCGGTGCCCCACCCATGTCCTCCTGCCTGCTGCTGTCCCCAGCCTGGGGAGCCAAGGCAGAGCCCTCCCCCCTCCATCCAGTGCCTCCCTCCACCCCCGACCCCCACCAGGCTGCACTCATCTGCTTCTTCCCTGGAGGACACAAGCAGGGTCTGGGGGACTCCTCACATCCAGGACTGGGGGGCAGGCACGCCACCAGCTCCCACAGATGCGGAGACGATCGCGGTTAGGTGTGAAAAAGTGGGACCCCAAATCCCTGTCCACGGAGGTCCCAGTTAGCACAAATTGTCCATCGCGTAAGCCGGCAAGTGAAAGACAGTGCCCTCCACGAGGCGGGAGCACAGACTGTGGTTTTCCTTCTGTATCCTTTTCTGGCTTCCCCAGGTCCCAAAGAAACTTTAAAACAGGAGAAAATCGGGGCTGGGAAGTTAGGAGCAAAGAGATGTGTCCTTACCTGGGGAGGGGTGGGACAAGGTGTCTCTTGCCCGGGGGGCCCCTATGCCCCACCCAGTGTGACCACCCCCACCCTGTGGTCTTCTCCCACCTGCATGTGCATCCATCCACTTGCACACTCACGAAGGCTGGCACCCAGTCAGGGACATCACAAAGCAGGCAGTGCCAGGCTGAGGGTGCGCAGAGCCCAGGAGGGGGGGGCCATGGTTTCAGGTGGGACAAGGCCAGGGTTGAGGGGGACCAGGCGGGGCAGGGCGGGGGGCACAGGAGGTGCTGGACTAGGCCCCAACCTGGAGGAGGCTTGATTTCAGACACAAATGGTCAGGCCTCACGCCGGAAGCTGCTCATATCTGAGGCATGTTTGGCTTTCATCTGAGATGCCGTTCTTTTTGGGGGGACACTTGGGTGGTGGGGCAGTGCTCACCTCCCTGGCTGTGTCTGCAGCTACGTCTCAGCCATGGTGCCTGTGAAGTCCCCCAGGGAGTACTACGTGCAGCAGGAGGTCATCGTGCTGTTCTGTGAGACCGTGGAGAGGTGAGGCCACCCCTGACTGCCACAGGGTCCTGCTCCTCCCTGGGGCAGCTGCAGGGACAGGGATACCTCCAGCCACCTTCCCCTTCCAAGTCCACTTTCCCCTGGCAAGCACACCTACAGCCTCCTTCCTCAGCTGCACCATCCCTTCCTCTGGGCCCAGAGGGCTCTCCTGCCAGAGACTTCCCTGGTAGAGCCCTGGAGTAGCCCCACAAGGCAGCACAGAGAGCTGGACGCCTCACCTCCTTGCCTTCCTCACCTCTACACCTCTGTACCCTCCACACCTCCATCTCTTCCTAACCTCCACACCTCCTCAGCTCCCCACCTCCTCAGCTCCACACCTCCTCATCTCCTTGCCTCCACACCGCCTCACCTCCACACCTCCATCCCTTCCTAACCTCCATGCCTCACCTCCTCAGCTCCTCAACTCCTCACCTCCACACCTCCTCATCTCCTTGCCTCCACACCTCCTCACCTCTACACCTCCTCAACTCCTCACCTCTACACCTCCTCACCTCCATGCCTTCCTCACCTCCTCACCTCATCTCTATACCTTCTTACCTCCTCACCTCTACCTTCCTTACCTCCTCACCTTCACACCTCCATGCCTTACTGATCTCTGTACCTCCACACCTCCTCACCCTCTCATCTCCACACCTCCACACCTGACTTCTATACCTCCACACCTCCTCTCTTTCATGCCTTCCTCACTTCCACACCTTCCTCACCTTCATGCCACACCTCCATACATATACCTCCTCACCTTCTTTACCTCCCCATCATCCTCATCTCTATATCTCCTCACCCCCTCACCCTCATCCTCCTCTCCCCACCTTCTCATTTCCTTACCTCCACAGGCCAGGATGGAACCCCTGCTGGGTTGGAGGTCTCCTGAACAAGGTTTTGCAGAGTGAAACATCAGTATTCTTGCCATGCCTTAGACAGTAATTCAAGTCAGATTTTTGAGTGGACTTTGGGACTAAGATATAGCCTAGAATGTTTTTCTCATCTGACTAGTGCTGTGGTATTAGAGAAGTCTTGAAATTGCCTCATATCACTTCGTAATTAAAGTCATGTTATTTGCTGTTTATGTATTGAAATACATTTCAAATTGCTAAAAAATAAGATGGCAGGAAAGACCTTGTCCTTGGAACCATTGTGACGTGACTGGAGCAGAGCCAGCTCACAGAGTGTAGAGAGAGCCACTTGCATTTGCCTGGGGCATGAGACTAAATCCAGCAGAGCGTTGTTCGTTCCTCAGGAAAGTGTTAAATTGTGTGGGGCGGTGTTTTTGTTCCACGTTTATTCTTGTCACTTGAGCTACTTCAATTTTCTGGCTAAGCAAGCCCGTGGCAGGATGAGCTTCTGTGTTTTGTTTGCTGGACACCATTGCTGCCCCGTGGGCCCCTCAGCAAGCACACCGTGCCCTTCCCTGCACCTTCCATCCCAGAAGTGGGATTGGGCAGGTGGAAAGTCAGGGAGGGGGAAGCAACAGCCACCTTTGCTCGGGCCTTCTGGAGCAGAGCGTGGCCCCTGTCACCTTCCTGGCCATCAGCTGAGCACAGACGCAGGTGGGGGTGGAGTGGGCCATGGTGGGTGTTGGGAGGGCAGGCCTTACCCTTCTTGCTCTCTGTCCCTCGGCCAGGGCCCTGGACTTCGGATACCTGACCCAAGACATGATTGACGACTACGAACCGGCCCTCATGTTCACCATCCCCAGGTTGGCCATCGTGTGGTGAGTGTTCTCCCGCCCGGGATAGCCATTGGGCGGAAGCCTAGCAGGACTGTGGAGTGAGACAGTGCTGGGCCCCTTCTGGGTGTTGATGGCTGGCCCTTACACCCCCAACAGGTGGCTGCTAGCTGCCCGCGTGGCACCAAGCAGGCCTGCTGTCGGCCCTCACCAGGTGTTCTGAGGGTGAGGGAGGGACCCCCCCCATCCTAAATAGTACGAGATGGCCGGACACCCAACACCCAACGGCACAGGTGAGATGGACAGTCACCTAACTCACAGCCCAGGGCAGGAGCACCCCCACACCACATAGAGCCACGTGGGGGGCATGCAGGAGCAGAGTGTCCAGCCCAGGCTGTGGGAGGAGGCCCCTGGCTCCCGTGGGGGGACGTGATGGGCTTACATGAGTCATTCACAGGCTGGAGGGAGGTGGGGGGACATGAAATGAGCCTGAGCAGGTGAAGAGCAGGTGGGGTGCAGCTGCTCTGGCAGTGGGGAGGGGGGAATGTGTGCTGAGGCAGAGCCTTCCTTACTGGGTATGGAGCATGAGCAGCGAGAGCAAGGGAACTCAGGCGCAGGCCTCTGGGGTCTTGTGGGCTTAGAGGTGTTGGCCAGCACATGGGGTCAGGCCTTATGTTCCCCAAGGCAGGATGTGTGTGGTCAGTGGTAGAGCACTTTGAGCTTCTTGAGGCCAAGGTCGGGTCAAGGTCAGAGCCTGGGTGTTCTGGGCTCGGCCTGGGGCTGCTCGCCCACACCCTGACTCCAAGGCAGGGACCACCCTTGCCTCTTGCCAGGTGAGGGGGCATGGGGCAGGTGGTCACAGGGGGAGCCCAGTGGAGAGGCCTGTAGGTCTGGCCACCCTGGAGGGGCCCCGTGGGCAGCTGGTGTGCAGGTGTGGAGCTGGGCAGAGAGGGAACCAGAGTCCTAGGGACAGATGCTGATGGCAGATGCTGTCATCGGCGAAGCAGTCTGGGAGAGTGTGAGGTGGAATCAGAGGCCAGGACTGGTCCAGGCACCAGCCCCCCTCCTTGGGAAATGGGGATGCAGTGGTGGGAGTGGTGGGGGGCAGGGTGGTGCAGCAGGATGAGGTCAGCTTCTGGGCCAGACGGGCTTCCCTCAAGCAAGTTGCGCTGCGTGTAGAAGGCGTGTGGGGCCAGCAGGGACGCTGGAGGTCAAATGGCCAAGAGATGCCAGGTACAGAGGCTCAGGGGAGACACCAGGTGCAGAGGCTTGGGGGAGGGAGAGCTGGGAAGAGGGGTCGGGACTCAGGGAAGGCTGAGCATCTCTCCTTGACCTGACTGTGTCCTTGGAGCTGCCTTCCGTGGCGGTCTCGCTACCAGGAACCCCAGCCTCCACCCCTTCCTTCTGTGTCTCCTTCCCTGAGACAGTCTTCTCCCCGAGTTTGCCTGTCAGGGAAAGCAGGAGTGCGTCCCAGCACCCCAGAACACACACACTTTACAGTTGCTTTAATCACTAGAGTCTGAGACTCTGCCTTCACCTGAAGCTGAGCGGTGCAGAGGACAGATGTCCCCTGGGGCCAGCTCCGGTGGTCTGGCCTGAAGTGGCCCCTTGGTGGGCCAGGTAATTTTGTTATATCGTTATTTGCTTTCTTGGCAACGGCTCTCTGTGGCCAAACTCATGTCCAAGACAAAGCTGCTTCGAGCTAGGGCCTTGCTTCTGTGGGCCTGGGCTCCAGGTTGGCGAGCCCCTTCCATGAGAGTGGCTTTTGTCCCCTCCCTCTGTGTCATGCAGTTCATAGCCCCTTTTCTGGTAGCGTGGAGACCCTGGCCTGGCAGTGGTTCTTTTTTTTTTTTTTAAGATTTTATTTATTTATTTGACAGAGAGAGATCACAAGTAGGCAGAGAGGCAGGCAGAGAGAGGAGGAAGCAGGCTCCCCTGCTGAGCAGAGAGCCTGATGTGGGGCTCGATCCCAGGCCCCTGAGATCATGACCTGAGCTGAAGGCAGACGTTTAACCTGCTGAGCCAGCCAGGCACCCCCTATGGTTCTTTTCTAAAATGCCTTGGCGAGTGCCTTGAAGCTCAGGATCCAGTGCCCCCAGCTCTGAGCTCGCGGCTGGGATTTCATCATGCTGGCTGGGGGTGGGGGGGGGGGGGGGTTTCCACCATGCTGGAGGGGTTCCCAGGCTGGCCACCTGACTGTGCACAGGGGTGCTGGTGTGGGCACACGCTGGCCAGCCTGCCCTGTTGAGCTGTGTGGCCTCTTGGAGGCTCCCCAGCTCCACGGGGCCAGGCAGCATCTGGGACTGTGGGGACACGAAGGCCTTGTGCTGTCTTAGATGGAACCTATCCTCAGCTTCATGGAAGTGCTCAGACTCTCCCAGGCACTTTAAAAATACAACCCATTTACAATAAAGGCGAAGCATCAGACAGTCTGAGCACTTGGGCTCCAGGTTCTCACACGAGCCTGCTGAGCAAGGGCGGTCAGACTTCACCGGCCAAGCCATAAGCACTGGCCCAGATCTGGTGGTCATGGGACTGTTCTCTCAGGCCTTCTCACCGAGCAGTCCCCCAAGGTCACTTTTCCCTGACCAGCATCACTGCGCCCTGTGTGCCGACCGCAGCTGCCCTGTGGATATCTGACTTCTGCTCCTTCTCTGTCCCCTGGTCCTGGGAGGGAGAGTGAGGGCCCCACGGGCTGGGCCTTTGTCCCTGTGCCCCCCTCCTGGCAACAGTGTGTGGGGGCCTCTTGGAATCCCCCAGTACAGGTGGAAAGGCTCTGAGTCACAGTGAAGGTAGGCTAGTTTTGGAGTTGGAGTGAAGGGACAGCAGGTGCAGGGAGGCCTTCTGGGAAGTAGGAGCAGAGGCAGGGACCCAAAGCCCAAAGTTGAGGGAGCAGAGGTTCTTGGCTTGGCTGCGCCTAGAGGGAGGCCTCACGATGGCCCCAGGCCCACCTCAGACCCTCACGGGCCCTCCCTTGGAGCCAGGCTCTGCGTCTGGGGCTTTAAGGTATACAAAACTGTAACTGAATTTCTCCATCCTACGGAAGGAGGGGTAGAGCAGTAAGCAGCTGTCCCCAGAGCCTCCCCCTTCAGGGTCACTCCGGGACTTGCTGGGTCCTGTATCTGCCCAGAGAGCCTATGTTGAGCCCCTGTTGTGTACCTGCCCTGTGCTTATCCCCAGGGATGCCAGGACACCTCTGGGGCAAGTGTACAGGTAGGAGAGATAAGCAGCTGCTGTGGGTTTTTCTGGATGCTGGGGTAGGATAGGACCCTGGATCAGAGCCCCTCTAGAGAGGACAAGAGCTGTGAGCATGAGGGGCGGGTCCCTAGTCCTGGAGCAGAACCCTGGAAGCTGGGGTGGGAACTGGTCAGGTGGCTGCAAAGGGGTGGAGGTAGCACCTCTGGCTGGAGGGAGGAGGGGTGGGTCATGGGTCACATGCGGCAGGGAAGCCAACACTCTAGGAACAACAGCCTTCGAGGGTGACATCTGTGCTGTGGGTTCCTGGGATTCCAGGTGACTCTCAGGGAGCAGTGAGAGCAGAGGGGGATCTGGGGGTGAGGCCTCCCTGCTGCACCAGCCCCACCTCCTGCCTCTAGGAGCTCCAGCCCCTTCCCACCCGTCCTGCTCTGAGCTCTCCCAGGAAAAACTCCCCCTCGAGGTGGCATGGCATCTGTGGGCCCGTCACAGGTGAGGAGACAGGTGTGGAACTGCCGGATGGGGCCCAATCCAGCCCTGCTTGTGCCTGATGACCACTGGGCTTTGTGGCCCTGGGGAGGCCCCCCTGAGGTAGAGGCGGTAAGAGGAGCTCTGGAAGATTGGCAGGGATAGGGGGAGGGCTGTGGGGGGGGTGGCCTGGAGGCTCAGAGGAGGCTCAGGAGGAGGCTGGCCGGGCCAGGTGCTGGGTGTCCATGGGGCTGGACAGGGGTTTGGTCTTGTCCATGCCCTCTCGGGTGCCAGCCCTGAAACCCTGGGCCCCATTCCCTGCACTTCACCTGTGCCCCTGGGCCAGGCCCCCGACTTAGCATCACGTCCCCGCTGGTCACTCTACTTCCTCTCTCTCATTTTCACACTCCCTGCCACCCACATCCATCCTGCGGTCCTACTACCAGAATTTTCCAAAGTTGCTGCCCCATGGGGGTCTCTGGCCTCCCGTTGTTTCCTTGCCCACCTGCTTCACCACCAGAAACAGCCCCCTGCCCAGCCCCTTCCCAGTCTTCCAATCTCCACACAACCTGCCTGGCCTGCAGCCCTCTTCCCACAGGTGCTCACCTCTAGCAAGGTCGTGTGTGTACTCGAGTGTGTACACTTAAAGTGTACAATGTAGTGGTTTTCAGTAAATTTACAGGCTTGTGTAGCCATCACCATTAATTTCAGAACATTTTCGTCCCCCCTGAAGGATACCCCTCCCTCCTTAGCTGTCACCTCCACCCCCTACAATCCCGCCTGCCTAGCACCAGGAAACCCCAGATCTGTTTCTGTGTCTGTAGGTTTGCCTGTTTGTGATGTTTCATATAAATAGGATTTGTGTTATTTTCGCATCTCCCCATGTGCCTGGAAGCACTACCCTGAGGGGTGCTCATGGCCTGTTTTCCCTCAGAGGCTTGAGCACTTGGCGGGTGGCGGCACAACTTTTGCAGAATTTGGTTGCATTGACTTGTCAGGGCACCATCTGTATTTACAAAGATTTTTACTGAAGTTTATTTTTAATCATGAAAATCTGAGGGGCTAGATATCCAGAATTAAGGGATTGTTTAAAAACAATACTCCAGGACGCCTGGGTGGCTCAGACAGTTAAGCATCTGCCTTCTGCTCAGGTCATGGTCCCAGGGTCCTGGGATCGAGTCCTGCATCGGGCTCCCTGCTCAGTGGAGAGTCTGCTTCTCCCTCTCCATCTGCCTTTCCCCCTGCTTGTGCTCTCTCTCTCTCTCAAATGAATAAATAAAATCTCAAAAAAAACAAAACAAGAAAACAATACTCCAGGTGTTTAGGTAACATTGGTGAAAAATCCCAAAAAGCCATGGAAAACGTCCCTAGTGTGCTGACTATGAAATATTATACCAAACACTGTGTCTCTACTTAACATGACCTCTTGACATGATAATTATAACTTCTGTAAACAGAATCAAAGCAATAAATGTTAATTTTTTTAGTGTGGTAAAATAGACATAACACAAAATTTACCACTTTCACCCTTTTTGAGTGTACATCAGCAGCGGTTAGCACATTCACACTGTTGAACCACCCCTACCACCATGTCCAGAACTTTCCCATCGTCCCGAACAGAAATGCTGTTTCCACTAAATGCTATCTCTCCACTCCCTCCCCCGGCCCCCGGTACCCTCCAGTCTACTTTTTCTCTGTGAGTTTGACTCCTCTAGGGACCTCATATAAATTGAGTCATTATACAATATTTGTCCTTTTGTATCTGGGTTATTTCACTGAGCATCATGTTTTCATGGTTCATCCACATGGCATGTAGGAACTTCATTCTTTAAGACTGAAGAATAGTCCATCATATGTAATTAAATATTACTTTAAAGAAGAAATTTCCAATAACATCCAAAAGAAAAAAGTACTGAGGAGTAAATTTAACCAAGGAGGTGGAAAACATGTACACTGAAAATTATAGAACATTCCTGAAAATAGCTAAAGACCTAATTAAATGAAAAGATAGCCCATATTCATGGATTGGTAGGCTTGCTATAGTTAAGATGGTGCTACTCCCCAAAGTTATATATAGATTAAATACATTTCCTATAAAAACTACCTTGGCCTTTCTTTTTTTGCAGAAATGGAAAAGATCCTCAAATTCATATGGAAGCTTTGAATAGCCCAAACAATGTCGAAAAAGAAAAACAAAGTTGGAGGACTCGTATGTCTCGATTTCAGAATTTACTACAAAGTTATGATAATCCAAAGTGTGGTACTGTCATAAGGATAGACGAACGGAAAAAAAATCAAGACAACAGAAATAAGCCAAATATCAATAGCCAACTGGTTTTTGACAAGGGGGCCAAGGCCATTCAATGAGGAAGTTAGTCTCTTCAACAAATGATGCTGGAACAACTGGATGGCTGTATACAGAAGAGCAGAGTTGGGCCCTGTAATGATTAATTTTATGTGTCCACTTGTCTAGGCCATAGTACCCAGATATTTGGTCAAACACTAGTTTGGATATTGCTCTAAGCTATTTTAAAAATGAGATTAACGTTTAAATTTTGATCTTGAGTAAGGTAGCTTACCCTTCATAATGTGGGTGGGCCTCACCCAATCAGTTGAAAACCTTAAGGGAAAACAGAGTTCCCCAAGTGAGAGGGAATTCTACCTCCAGACTGTCTTCAGACTTAAGCTGTAGCATCAACTCTTCCGAGTCTCTAGGTCTCTAGCCTGCCCTCCTACTCTGCAGAGTTTGGATGTGGCCGCCATCCACAGTCATGGGAACCAGTTCCTCAAAATATCTCTCTCTCTAAAACAAATAAACCCAACAAACCAACCAACCACCCAAGCTCTCCCCCTTCCCTACACACACACACACACACACACACACACACACACACTATATTTGTTCTATTTCTCTGGAGAACTCTGACTAGTACAGGAGGTAAATCTTCACATTCCCTGGCTTGGCAGTAGATTCTTAGATTTGATACAAAAAGCATGAGTGACAAATGAAGAGATAGGCAAATTGAACTTCATCAAAATTTAAAACTTTTGTGCATTAAAGGACATTATGAAACAGTGAAAAGGTGACTTGAAGAATGGGAGTGGAGACTCAGATTTCCTCTCAGGCCGGGCATCTGCCTGGTGCCCACTCTAGCCAGCCACCCACCCCTGACTCTGAGTGTGCCCAGCAGCCCCTTCTCCCTCCATCTCTGCCAGGCTCAGCCCCGGGGGCTGCCTTGCCCTCCTCAGCAGTGGCAGGAGCACCGGCCTCTGTGGCCTGGGATGATCCTGTGCTGGGAGCCCTCCTAAGTACTGGTTTTGTTTCTCAGTCTCCAGACCAGCCAGTCAGCCCCGGGCCTTGTTCTCAGGGCACTGATGGGGCAGCCAGTGTCCTCCCTGGGATCCAGGAGCAGAGTCAGGCTCCCTTCCTGCCCCCTTTGCTGCTTTCTGAAGGACAAGATTGCCAGGAAGCCCGGGCAGGGCCCCTTTTCATGGCCTTTGTGCTGAGAACACTGACTCAACCATGAAGTTAAGGTTCTATATTGGGAAGTTGTCCCCCAAATACTGTTAATTTAACTGGAACTGTCAGCTTGTGTCAGACCCATAAAACATACTGGAAGGAATGGAAGGCTGGCCAGGTTGTCCTCTGCCCTCCGTCCAGACCTATGTCCAGGACACAGCTGCTCCTGGCAGCCCCAACCCTCCAGCTGCCAGAGGAGGTAGCACAGCCCATGATTTTCCTGTGACTTTTGAATCTTCCTTTGTGCATGTGGAATCTAACCTTTTTAAGGGAAAACAGTCCATTCAGTTTTACCAGTTTCTCTCCCTGTACTGGACGCGTTCCTGAGCCAACGAGGACTCCATGTTGGGTGGTGATAACCTGACCCCAGTGCAGCGATGAGATTCTGTTCATTTGCAGAGAGAGACACGGGGGCAGTTCTTCATTCATGCAAACAAATCTGCGAGTCCCTCCCCTGTGCTCTGACAAGGACGCAAGGAACAGTCACTGTGTGGGGGAGTTCATTCCCTGGGTGGCCCCTCAATGTGAGCTGTCTGGTCTTGGGGCTCCAGGAGGAGGTACCCCCAGAAGGGTCCTCCAGGGATGGTCCTGCTCTTGGAGAAGCAGGTCTGGACAGGATGGTGGGCATGCTTGGGGCTGGGCAGTGCATGGCAAGATTGCCACAGGGAATAAATGAGGTGCTGCCTGTGGAATGGGGACCCCCTGGAAGGGCATCTGAGCAGAGCCACATGGGGCTCAGCCGTGGGACCGAGGAGAGAGGGTCTGTCCTTCCTGGGGGTGACAAGGCTGTCTCCAGGCTTGAAGAGTGAGGGAGCAGGAGCCAGACCTCTACAAGGGAAAGGGGGCTTGGGGACAGGCTGGGCAAAGGTCAGGGGAGCCACGAAGCACACAGCTCACTGTGGGGGACCTCCCAGGGTTCCAGGTGGGCGGGGCTGGCGGTGGGGGGTACTGGATTGTCACAGCTGGTGTGGTCTGGGAGGCAGGAGAGGCTGTGGTCAGGGAGTTGGAAGGACTCAGTGTGGAGTCTGGTGAGTGAGGGCCGATTCCCGGAGTCCCGTGGGAGGTTGGGAGGGCAGCTTGGAGGCACGTCTGGGAGAAGTCCCACCCTATTTGCGACAAGGGTCCCTGAGATGCTCCTCCGGCCCTTGTGGGACCCCGCCAGGGCCCAGTCCCCAAGGCTCAAGTGTCTGTGTGCCTTGGTGCAGAGCCATGGGCGCGTGGCTAGTAGGGGCCCCAACTCTCACTTCCCACTTCCCCGTCACATCTGCAGTAGGGGCACCCCACTAATTCTCAAAAGCTTCTGCATGTGTGTTACATTTAAACACAAACTCGAAATTTCCATTTCCAAGGAGGTAGTTTTAGTAACAAATATTGATGCTGATTTCTTTGATTGCAGCAGTGATGTGAACAGATAAATTTTTATGATTATTTTATGATCCCTCAAGTGAACATCCCCTAATCAGCTTCAGAAGATGATCAAGTCTGGCAATTTTCAGTGCATTTTTCTAAATGTATTTAAGATTCAGTCACAAGAGGTGAGGTGTGTGTGGTCTCAGAGCCCCTGGCTGTGGTCTGGGCTTATCCTGGGGGGCTGCAGGGCCTCATGCCATCCTGGCTTTTGTCTTGAATGCAGTGGCCTCGTGGTCTATGCAGATGGACCTCTGAACTTGGACCGCAAGGCAGAAGACATGTCCGAGCTATTCCGGCCCTTCCACACGCTGCTGCGAAAAATAAGGTGGGGAGGGGCTGCTCCGGGAGGGCAGGAGAGGGTAGGAGGGGGGTGCTGTGGTCCCTGTTGGGCCCCAGCCCTCCTTTCTGTGAGGACAAGTGGGTTCTTCCCGGTCCTCTCTGCTCAAGGCAGAGGTGCGCCTTGGTCTTCGTCTGTAGTTACTGGTTCATAGTGTTTCGAGCCCCCATGTATACCCACATACACCCTTGTCTCCCCTCAGAACCCAGCTCTTTGTGCTTGGCCGGTAACAGCATGACCTTGGGCACAAACTGCCAGTCACATGACTGCAGCCACCATGCTGAAAGCTCTGGCCCCGGGCCCTCTGTGCGAGAGGGAGAGGCTGGGAAACGGGATGACATGGGTGCCCCCCAGAGCCACACAGCCTGCAGGGGAGGGGTGGGCCCTGGGAGGGCGGTGGCAGGGCTGCGCCTGGGGCCCATGCAGGGACGGGTGCTTGCTTGGGCTTTCGTGGGTGCTCCCACCAGTATAGAGCCGAGGTGCCCTGCAATCTTGAGCACCAGGGCTCCTCCCCTGCTGTGACTTGTCATGGCTCCCCCGGCAGTCCCAGGCAATGGGTCCAGGTGGCATTGATGTCCTCGGCACCCTGTGTGCTGCCCTGGTGGCCTGGAGGTGCCTGCTGTGGGTGACTGTCCTTTGCTCTAAGGGGCTCCCCTCGGCTTTCAGCAACAACAGGCCTCAAGCCAGCCTCCTCCATCTTGGGCCTCCCCACAAACCCTCATTTCCCACTGGCCCAGAGCCCTACCAGGTGGCCCTGGACAGATGGCACAGCAGGAGGCTGTGGGCCCTCATCCTCTGAACTCCTCCTGGCCTTGTGGCCTCAGACTCTGAGGTCTTTCTTACCGTGGTCCCAGTCTCTGTAAGCTCCCTTCTGTGCTTTTGGTGGAACTAATGACTCTGTGGACTTCCGTGTGGACTTCCTGGGTCCAGCAGGACAGCCTAGCCCAGGGCAGCCCGGCGCTGGCTTCCCTTTCCTGGTGCCAGTTCAGGCAGACAGCTGGAGAGTCCTCTGCTCCCAGCTGCCCTTGGCCCCTGCAAGAGCCAACATACTGTGAATCAAGATGGAGGGGAGAGGGGTGCCTGGGTGGCTCAGGGGGTTAAAGCCTCTAAACCTAAAGCTCAGGTCATGATCCCAGGGTCCTGGGATAAAGCCCTGCATCAGGCACTCTGCTCAGCAGGAAGCCTGCCTCCCCACCCCCTCTCTCTGCCTGCCTCTCTGCCTACTTGTGATCTCTGTCTGTCAAATAAATAAATAAAATCTTAAAAAAACAAAAGAAGATGGCAGGGATAGGCCCAGCAGGGTGGTCCTTGGAGAGTCACTGGCCCTGGGGGTGGGTGAGGCACAGCCTGGGTCCTGTGATAGGTGCTTGGTCCAGACAGTGGCTCATCCGAAAGATGGCTCCTGCTGCTTGCCTCACACCAGGGCCTGGTCATGACCATTCTGGGCAAACTGTGACCCTGGACCCAGAGGCCATCACTGTTGCCCTCCCTGGCTGTCTGATGATGAATGAGGAGAGATGGTGGATGGGAAAAGCAGGGCACTGGGTACACACATGGTGTACCTTATGGGGGAAGCGTGTGGGTGGGGGACACTGGGCGCTGGGACATGGGCAGGGGAAACATTCCAGAGCATCAGAGACAGGTGCAACACGCTCTGAGGTCTGACGTACGTGACTGGAATCAGAAGGAAGAAAAGAGGGGCACCCGGCTGGCTCAGTCTGGGTGGGCGGGCCTGCCACTCTTGAGTTTGAGCCCAATGCTGGGTGTGGATATCACTTTAAAAAATCAAATCTTTAAAAAAAAAGAAGAAGAAAAAGAAGGAATTTTCCAAAACTGAAGAGAGATCTCTGCCCACAGACCCAGGAGGCTCAAGAACTACAAGGAAGATAAATAGAAGCAGACTTAGTATATCAAAGTAAAACTGCTGAAAACAGAGAAACAAATCTTAAACACGGCCAGAGAAAAAGGACATATTTCTGGGAAAAGAATATGAGATTGATAGCTGTCTCCTGAGAAACGAACAACGGGAGCCCAAAGGCAATGGAGTGATGCTATTTCAAGGGCTGGAAGAAAACATCCATCCAGCATGAAGGCAAAATGGTGAGTTATTGAAAAGCAGACCTGAAGGCATTCAGCAGCAGCCTGCCCACGGAGAAAAGCTAATCGGAGTTCCTCAGGCAAAGGCAAATGCCCAGATACAAATGTGGAAATGCAGGAGAGACTGAAGGAGTCTGTGTGGGTGGGTAAGAAATGTGCTTTGTGCAGAACGATCATCACCATGTCTTGTGGAGTTCAGATGACACATAGCATCGTTAGCATTTGGAAATAAAATCAATGTTTTGCTACATTAATTTTTTAAAAGAAGAAAAACCGAATCATTTTGAAATTGCAGCATAAGAATTTGAAAAATTCAATGCCTATTTTATGATGAAAACATCAGTGGTGATTTCCTTAATCTGATAAGAGAGAGAGATACATACACACACATGTGAAGTGGAAACCGTACACAAAAATGACGGAGTGGACCCAGGACAGAAATGTGAGAACTGAGACAATAGAACTCCTACAAGACCATCTTGGACAAGTGCTCTATCATGTTGCATTTTTAAAAAAGATTTTTATTTATTTATTTGACAGATCACAAGTAGGCAGAGGCGGGCAGAGGGGTGAGGGGGGGACGCAGGCTTCCCGCTGAGCAGAGAGCCCGAAGTGGGGCTCGATCCCAGGACCCTGAGACCATGACCTGAGCCAAAGGTAGAGGCTTAACTCACTGAGCCACCAAGGCGCCCCTCACGTTGCATTTTGGAAATTATTTCTTGGACAGGACACCAAAGGCACAGGCGACAAGAGGAAAAAATAGACAAATTAGACTTGAAAGTTTTAAAATTTTGTACAACGTGAGACACTCTCAACAGAGTAGAGAGGCAGCCCGCAGGTTGGAGAAAATATTCTCACATCTTATACCTGATAAGGGATCGACATCCAGAATCTATAGAGAACCCCTAAAATTCACCAAGAAAAGCCAAACAACCCGGTTCAAAAGAGCAAAGGATTTGAACAGACATTTCTCCCAAGAAAGTATGTGAGTGGCCAGCAAGCTCTGGAAAAATTGTTCATCACTCCTTGTCAGATCAAACTCACGATGAAATTGTACCTCCAACCCAGTAGGATGGCTCTTTCCAAAACTAACAATCAACAACAACAGAGGCCATGTGTTGGCAAGAATGTGGAGAATTAGAATCCTGTGCCTCATTGGTGGGAGTGCAAAATGGTGCGACTGCCATGGAAAAACACTGTGGAGTTCCCTCAAAAAATGAAAAATAGAATTGTCAGATGATCCAGCCATTCCACGCCTGGGTATATTCCCCAAAGAGCTTGAAGTAGTGTCTCAAAGAGACATGTGTCTAGCCGTGTTCCAATAAGCATTATTCACAACAGCTAAGGCATGGAAGCGAACCAGGTGTCCACTGGTGGATGAGTGGAGAAGCCAAATGTGGCCCATCACACAATGGAATGTTATTCAGCCTAAAAAGGAAGGAACTCCTGACTCCTGCCATCACAGGGATGCACCCCGAGGATGTGCTTGGTGAAATAGACCAACCACAGAAAGACAAACTATGTGAGATTCCAACTCCACAAGGGACCTGAACTAGTCAGAATCGTGGAGACAGGTAGCGGGTGGTGGGTGTTGGGCCAGGGGTGGGGAGCGTGCCGTTAGCGTTTGTGGGGACAGAGTTCCGGTTTATAAGATGAATGCGTTCTAGGAGTAGATGTTGGTGATGGTGGTGCTAGGATGTGAATATCACTGAGTCGTCCCTCAAAGTGGCTAAGATGATAAATTTCACATCATAGCTGTTTTAGCACAATAAAAAATTTAAATATTACCTGCAATAATGTCAGTAAATATCAGCTGCTTCAGCATCTATCTGCAGTTGTCTAAGGCCTCTGTTGAAAGTTACAAGAGGTTACTGGCATGAAATGTTAAAGACGTAAAGAGAGAGTGATTCCTAGTCAAGGAGTGGAGAACTTAACATTGCAAAGGTGTCCGTTATCTTCCGATCCATCTATGAATTTAGTGCGGTCTCAATCAGAATTTTAGGAGGTTTTTGTCTCTTTTGGTAAAAATTCACAAACTAATTCTGAAATTCATGTGGAAATGCAAGGGACGGAAACTAGCCAGAAAGAAGATTGCTGGAGAGAAAGAGCATTATTTACACATTCTACATGCTGGGCTTTGGTTCTTTCCATAAATGACACTGGTGTGACCACGCTTGTGAACACATGTGCATTTCTGCTGTAGATAGCTGTGCAGGGCCGGGAGTGTCAACAGAATGGAGCCTAGAAACAGACCAACACATCCGGGCCTCCCTGATTGAAGACAAAGGAGACACAGCAGGGCAGTGGGAGGTGGTTGCTGTTTTCCAATAAATGGGCTGAGTCAGCAGATATCCACATGAGGAAAAACGGGTCTGGATCCTTACCACAATCACCCACAGGAATCAACTCCGGATAAATTGCACGTGGGAAGTAAAAACAATGAAGATTGCCGAGGAAAACAACAGGAACATCTTTGTGAACTTGGAGTAGCAGATTGCTTAAACAGGACAGAAAAGCACTAAACATAAAGGAAAATGTGATTTATTGAACTTCATTGAAATTAAAACTTCAGTTGTTCCGAAGGTACCATTACGAGAATGGAGGCGGAAAGCCCCAGAGTTGGAGAACGTGTCCAAGAAAGAACTCAAATGCAAAACATAAAGAACTCCTGTCGATCTGTAAGAACAACAGAAATAACCCAACTAAAAACGGGCAGAAGATCTGAAAAGGCCTCACAGAGGGCACTGAGGAGGGCTGCCAAGCCTGTAAGCTGCTCTGCCCTTCATCAGTCAGCAGGCTGAGCAGTTTAAAGTGGAAAACCCCAGGAGTGCCTGGCGGTGCCAGCGAACAGACCACAGAGCCGCGAACGGATGTCCAGGGAGCGCAGCGGGAGCCCCGCAGCAGGGTGCAGGCGCGTTCCCTGGGCGCACCCCCTCCCAGGCGCCTACAGGTTTCTCAGGGAGGTGCTCAGAGAGGGTGGCTGGAGCATCCAGAGCCCAACAGGTGTGGAACTGATTCCTACCCATGAGACTGGACCATCCAGGACACTGAACCTAACCAACCCTGACCAACCCTACATTACCAGATCCAACAAGACAAAACCAGTAGAACCTTCTATTGAATTTGAATTTCAGATAAACAGCAGTTTCTGAATGCAAGAATATCCCACATACTCCCCATTTGGGACATTCTTATCCTAAAAAATATTCATATGCTTAAGAAGTACTTGTCGTTTATTTGAAACTCCTATTTAACTGGGCCTCCTGCATTTCCTCTGGTGCTTCTATACAGACATGGTGTTGCCAAACCATGCCTGCCTGTAGAGAGTGTGGATGGCACATCCCCATTTATGCAGGGCGACTGCTTCGGTCTTTGGAAGTCAGGGTGCTGGTGATGGCAGCGGGTGAGTGGGAGGGCACATGAGGGCCTGTGAGCCTGGTTCACGGTCCACGGTTGGATCAAGGTGCTGCCCACATGGGCGTGCTCAGTTTATGAAGAGTCGCAAGCTGTGCGTTTCTGGGAAGTACACTTTTCTGGCATTTCTGTGACTGCACAGGGCTCTTTAGCCTGGTCAGACGGGCACTGGCCGAGAGCATGGCACATCCACGTAGACCTGCTTGAGATCCATCCCAGGCATTGCCACATTAACTTCTTCAGGTCGTTGGTTTGGTGCCCCTTCCTCCAGGAAATCTTCCTGGGTTAAGCCTCCTGCTGGTAGGCATTTTTCTTTGTTGTAGTTGCTGTAGTTGTGAGGCAGTCATCATTCACAGAAACAGTGACTCTTCCAGTGTAGCCTCCAAGGGTGTGACGTGCCTGACCTGTGCCTGCCTGTCTCCCCGCCTGGCACAGGGATGGCGCTTGAGAACATGTGCACAGTGAGAGCCTAGAATGTGAACCAGCATTTTGTTTTCACTCCTAGAAGGTTTTCTTTTTCTTTTTTTTTCTTTTTTAAGATTTTATTTATTTATTTGACAGAGATCACAAGGCAGAGGCAGGCGGGGGTGGGGAGCAGGCTCCCTGCTGAGCAGAGAGCCCAATGTGGGACTCAATCCCAGGACCCTGAGACCATGACCTGAGCTGAAGGCAGAGGCTTAACCTACTGAGCCACCTAGGCGCCCCCTAGAAGGTTTTCTTAACATGATGATCAGGTCCCTAAGAATCAGGGCAGCCTTGTTTTCCACAAGAGTTTTCAGAGCCTCACTTTTGAGAAAGACGCCTCTCGGGAAGGCAGTCATCCCTCCCCACAGCCGTGGTCTGACCTGCAGCTGGGGAGGATCCCTGCAGAACTGTGCCACGTTTCCTAGTGCGGGAAGTATGTGCCCTGTGTGCTTCACTGCCAGGGTCCGATCCCTTGTTGCTTCTCTGCTGATGCAGACATCAAGGGCGCTGTGTCCGTCTGCTGTTGGCCAGGGGGCTGCTGTGGCCTTTGGGACCCTCACCTGTGGTTTTTGTCTTGACCCTTGTAGGGACTTGCTACAGACCCTGACAGAAGACGAGCTTCACACGCTGGAAAGGAACCTCTGCATTTCCCAGGACGTGGAGTTCCCCATCCGGGCAGACACCCCGGTGCCCCCCGCCCTGACACCCGCCTTTCCCTCACCCCTCCCCACCGAGGAGCTGCTCTCAGCCAAGGCCAAGACCCCGGAGGCAGAGCTGGCCTGTTCCATGCAGTACGACAGCCAGGAGCTAGAGCAGCTCGACCGCATGGTCCACAGGGCAGGGGATGAGATGTCATCCCTCCTCTCCCCGCCCAGTGCCTGCCAGTCTCCCGCACACCGGCCAGGGGTGGAGGGTAGCCCCCGTGGGGAGGCATCCCCAGGCAGCGCTCGGCTGCGGCCAGGCAACGACGAGGAAGAAGGAAGGGTGTTCTTCATGGATGATGTGGAGGGGGCTGCCGAGGCCCCAGGAGGCCCATCTGGGTGGGCAGGCAGTGCCTGCACTGACCCCCAGGAGAGAGGGCCAGGCGGAGGGCACGGAGAGGCCAGGGGTAGCGGTCCCTCCAAGGCAGAGGAGGGGGACATGAGCAATAACAACGATGTCCCTCATGACAAGATGTGGGCGCTGGGTCCCAACTCCTGCAGCTGCCTGGATGCGCAGCCGCACCTGGATGGCTGGGAGGGGGGTGGGGACGCTGCGCAGACGGCTGAGATGATCGCCCACCGGACCGGGGGCATGAAACTCTCAGCTACTGTCATCTTCAATCCCAAATCAACCCCTGTAGGGGGCTCTGCCGTCACCACCCCGGAAGCCTCTGAAGACGGCATCTCCCTGTCGGGGCCTGTGGCCCAGGGGACACACAGTGGCTCCCACAAACTCAGTACTGCGGCCACCAGCTGCCTCCTTAACTCCTGCGTGTGCTGTGGGGGCTGTGGCGGCGGCAGGGAGGATGGCGCCGCCCAGAGTCTACATGACAAGTGTGGCCCCAGAAGTGTCATTAGCGCCTCTTACGTCGGCTCTGCCAAGGCCAGCGCCAAGGGCTCTGCTGAGAGATGGGAGGAGGCCCTGCCTGTGCCAGAGGCATTGCCCTCAGAGGACGCCTCTACTTCCAAGTGCCTGACACACACCTCGGGGCCTCAGCTGGACACAGTGGACAGGTCACCTGGAGCGGCCAATGGTGCAAGTCCAAAAAGGGAGCCTCAGGCTGGACCGCCGGATTCGGGGCAGCCGTCGAAGGCCAGGGTGGAAAGTCCGCAGGGAGAGGCGGCCGAGGAAGAGCCTCAGCGCCTGTCAGACTCCAGGTAAGAGCTGGCTCTAGCCTCGCCCAGGCTCCTCTCCTCACATCCAGGGCTCGTTCCTGAGGTGTTGCCCGCAGGGCTCTCAGGTTGGGGGGAGGCCAATGTGGGAGTCAAGCAGCGAGTAGCAGCCTGCTCACCCAGTCCAGCAGAGAAATGTCCCCAGTGAGCCCCGGGCCACCCTGCTACTGATGTTACAGGAGCCTTTCAGGTGACGTGGGCCCAGTGCCAAGCCCTCTGGCCACCCCCTTGGACTGCCAGGGCCCATCCTGGCCCCAGGTCATCCTCATCTATCCGGGGACTGGGCGGCGGCCACCTCTGAGGTTGCTTTCCACATCACTCACTGTGGGGGCCTCAGCGAGTGCCCGCCTACCCGCGTGGCTACCCAGCTCACCTGGGGTTACAAGTTACACCAGCAGGTGCCCAGCAGTGGGCGTGGCACCCTGAGGGCTGTGCTGGGATCCTGGGTCCGCCCCCTTATGTTCTCCCACAGTGCCTCCAGGACTCTGTCCTCCTGTCCCCTCCCTTCTTCTCCCCAGGGGAGCTCCTGTGTGCTCCTCCCGAGGCAGGGAACCAGGAAGGGTGGGCCAGGGGTGGGGGGCAGTCTGCAGGGCCCTGGCACCCACCCACCTCTTTTGCCTCAAGGCCACTCTCCCTTCCCTTGTTCCCCATACCCTGGACCTTTCCCGGTGAAGCAGATTCAGTGAACATTCCCTCATGACCGCCGTGTGCCTACTGCAGGCTCCGCACTGGGAAAGGGGGCACTGGGGTCACCCCGATTGTTACATGGTCACAGCCCCCAGCCCTGTCCCCTCAGCGGGACCTTGCCTGCTGGGTCTGCCGGCAGGAGGTGGGAGGATGGGGAGGAGTTTTAGGCCGCACACAGCCCCTGTGGCCGCAGTCCTCTGGCAGCGTGTGACAGGCGCCCATGTGCCCCGTGCAGCTCCGCATGGCGTCTGCCATTGCTCCACATCCCTTCTGTGCCCCCAGCGACCGCTAACTTCCTCTCTGTCACCACGGACTTGCCTCTTCTGGATGCTTCCCATACGCAGAACCCCACGCTATGTAAACCTCACGCCTGTCTGTTCCATGAGCGTGAGGCTTCCAAGGCTCATCAGTGCCAGAACAATCGTCCACGGCGCTTCTTTCCTCTCTGTGGCTGGATAATGTCCCGTTGGACAGACAGAACGCCTTCCATCTGTCTGTTCATCCACCGGTGCGCGGGTGTCGTTTGTGCGTTTTTCTGTCGCCATGCAGAACTACATCCACACTCTGTGTGCTCAGAGGTTTCCTTTCCTTTAGGTGTGTGGGCAGGAGACCTGGTGGGTCATACACTGGTCCTACAGCCATTTCTCAGAGCCGGACGTGCACAGGGCCCCCATTTTCTACCTCCTTGCCGCTCATTTTGGCTGAGAGCCAGTCAGCCAGCCCCTTTGTCCTTCCAGCAAGCACAGTCACAGGGTTGCTTTCAGCTGCCTCAAGACCATCGCTCTCTCTTCGACCACGCCACTGGTGTCAGAGTGCTCATTTGACCCCACTGAGCACGAGATGTAGAGAGATGGCCGTTGACATTTAATCGTATAATTATCTCAGATATTTGTTTGGTTCCCATCAAATCTATAAAGTAAGGTAGATCCAGAGAAGTTTATCTCTTCACCTTGCTCTTCTTAAAGGTAACAGGTTTTAAGTTTTTTACAGTTTCCCTTCCAATTTTAAAAATATAAACAAAGATGTACACACGTGCATTCTCTCCCCGCCCCCACCCCCAGGGCCTCACCCTGCAGACACTCTCGCGTGCCCTGCTCTCCTGGCCTTCTAGCCTGGAGGCTGGGCCATCGTAGTTTTTGGAGGTGGGCTCCCTGTCCCGTCCAGCCGCGTGACCCCCATGGGGCTGAGCCAGCGTGCCCTCAGGCAGGTCTTGCTGCTGGCCGTGGGGTTGTGCCAGACTCTGCTGCTCCAGACGGTGCAAACATCTTCTATTTCTGATAAAGCTGTTTTTGAGATGCAAGCCCAGCTTCCTCGGCCATGTCCAGAGGAATGAACTATTGTCACAAGCTGCTGGATGGCTTTCTTCCTCGGGATCCCCCACAGAGTTGATTATTGGTAAGTGAATCATTCTTCTGCAAGGATGATAGGAAATCATCAGAAATTCTTCGACAGGTATGCGGCTTTTTCAGTTTTTGACCTGCCTCCCTTCTCTGGTCCAGCCAGTGGACACCTACTCTGTCTCCTGCTCTCCCAGCATTTCCCACGGTGGACACTGCTCGTTTGCATCACGAAGATGACTTCCCGGGCCCTATCCAGCTTTGCTCAAACACTGAAGCTGAGCTGAGGAAAGGAAAGGGAAGCCCCTCTGTGGCCTTGAGACAGCCCCACCTTCTTGGGGAGCTTCCAGAAGATGCAGAGGGCCTGAGGAGGGAGGAATGTGGCAGGTGGCTGGTGATCAGGACAGCCATGCGTCTGGGCCAGGACCTCGGACAGCGGTGGCCCCCCACCCCACGCCAAGGGCAGCGAGAACCGGGTCAGCCGGGTATTAGCATGTGGTGCCCATGGTCTGCCAGCTGCAAACACATCAGGATCGTCACTCCCTTGGGTCACAGGCTAACCTCATGGAGTGTGATCTAACGCTAGTGCGGGCGTGACAGAGCAGGGAGACCCTTAACATGGACAGACACAAAAGACCAGTTGCCCACAGGCGGAAAGTTTGCCGAGATTCCAGCATGGAGATTCCTGGATGTCTGGGGTGCTGCCGCCCTCACGATGTCTAGAGGCTTCACGATGGAGACCACAGGGCTCAAGTGCAGGGGCAGGGGCTCATTCCTCCCGTTCTGCAGACAGGGAGGCCAGTGTCCTGGAGAGGCAGCTGGCCTGTAGCTCCCTGCCTGTCTGCTGGCTTGCAGGGGGTGCCGCAGCCCCAGGGGCTGGCGAGTGGCCAGAGGAGGGAGCAGCGGGCATGATGCTAGGCTTGTAAGCTCCCAGCCCCGTGGTCTGGCCAGGAGGTCACTCAGGGGCAGCCTCACTCCTCTGCGAGGTACACAGAGATGGCCCAGGCAGGAAGCACACGATGCTGCGTCTCCCTGAGGACACAGGGAGCGAATGCCCCGGTGAAGCAGAAGCCTGGTGGAAGGACGGGGCACTGGGGTTCTGTGCCAGGCTAGCCAGAGGGTCTGGGCCAGAGAAGCGCCTTCTGGGACGTTCCCCCAGGCTCTACGTTCAACCCCCTGCAACACGGGCCAATTCCATCAGTGCCATTTCCAGGGTGCTAGGTCATGGCCCCCAGCAGAGACCTTGGCAGAATGTTCTGGTTTTAGTATATGTGCTGCCGAAGCGAGCACGGCAGAATGTTCTGGAACCATGCATCCCTCAGCTCTTTTTACTGGCTTCTCTCCTACCTTTTCAGGAAAACTTAAGATCTTTTAAAAGGGAAAGTTAGCATTTTTCAAGAGCTTGTTGTTCCCTGTCTAGACTTAACTCACTGTTCCAGAAGCTTCCATGCTCTTGAAGCCTGAATAAGCCACTTGTCTACAGCACGGAAGCTCAGCCTTCCTCAAATCTGTTTTTGCTCTTTCCTAGGACATTTGACTAGAGCGTCTCCATCCTGTTGCTTCTTTTAAAAAATTCCACGGGCTCACTTTTTTCTTATAATAAACATGGCCCTGTTCATTGTAGAGACTTTGAAAACATAAGAAGAAAAACAAAAGGAAATAAAAATTACCCCGAATCCTATGAGCAGTTTTAGTTTATTCACGACGTTATGATAATTTCTCTGGAAAGTGCTTAAAAAACACTATTTCCGTTGAATTCTACTATATCCTAAGGACATAAGGACATACCTAGTTTATTCTATGTTTTCCCACGTCCGTGTGTCTTTTTGTGTTGAGCTGGCCCTGTGGCCCTTCTGCCTTAGGGATCTGTGTCTGCCCCTGGGGTTAAGTCTTCAGAGTAGATTCTTGGTAAGGTCACCACGCCAAAGATGTAGAAAGTCTGTGCCGTCTTCCTGCCCCTTGCCGCCATATATGGTCAGATCGCTCTCCAGACACGTGCCGATGTACCAATTTGTTGCGGCAGGTGCCCCTCCCCCCCATTGAGACTTGAGAGTGAAACACGAATCCCTGGGTATGGTAGTTGGCTTTCCTCTGACGGTTGGTACCCCCCACGCTTCTTCCTTATCCGTGTGTGAAGCTACTGCTCCTGTTTTCCAGCTGGGTTTTCATGACTTGTTTACTGATTTGAAAGCGTTCCTTCTGTCTGGTGTGTCTGCTGGGGACAGATGTACCCCACGTGCTCCTTGCCCACCGATTCCATGTGTTGATGTCCTTTGATTTATAGAAGCCTTATATAGAAGAATTTATAAATTCCTTATATGGAATTTATGAAAATTCCAGAGAAGCCTTGTGGTTCTCGCTTTGCTTATTTTCTCTGGCTGGTTGTGCACCTCCCAACTGTCCTCGCCCCCAGGCCAGGGCATCGTCTCCTCTCTGGCTCCTGCCCTGTGGCTTGCTTCGTTCCACTGCTAACTCTGACCCAGTTTCAGAGATCCAGGGGTCCTGCTTTCCGAGACCATCTCTGAGCACTGGAGAGAGCATGACCGTCAGGGCTGATGGCCATCCTGACGCTCAGGCAGGGTCGCTCCCCTGTCCCACCGTGGAGGCCTGCTCTGCAGGATTCGTTCTCCAGCTGCGTTCGTGAATTTGGCTGGCGGTCCCCCTGCATCTCCCTCATGCAGCTGGTGGGCCTCCCCGGCTGTCATTTGGGGTCGAATGTTAAGAATCTGGGAGGGCTGTCCTCGGCACAGGCTTCTGAGCCTCTGTCCTAAACAGGCGATGTGTGCTCTGACCCAGTGTTCCGTCCCTGCAGAGGGGAACAGCTGGCACGCCTCCCCTGTTGTACCCCTCACCTGTCTGGGTAGTGGTGTCAGAGGCCCCACTTCCCCGCACCTGCAGAGGCAGTGGGAGGCTGTGTCCAAGGGGGGGGAGGGCACCTGTGGCTGGATGCTTGACCTCAGC